CCTCAAGTCAGTTCTTTTAACTTCGTGCGTGCACACCAAATACCAGAAAGTTTTCTTTGGGTTACTGCTGATTACCATAAGACATTTTTTTAATTCCCATGAAAATTTTTATGAAAAATCGATTGAATTTAGTAGTATTGATAGAAATGAAAAAAAGAAGCCAAGTAGATGGATAATCAACGCTATAACGGTATAATAAAATCCAAGAGTCTTCCTTCCAGTTTATTTCCCTGGGACATAATAAAATCTGACTGAAAACGAGGAAGAAAAGAATTCCACCGCGTTCTTCTCTTGTTACGTCTCTTCGAGTTGCAGCGGAGACGCATTGCGAAGAGAAACGAAGCACCTTAAGGCGGTGAAGCGAACAGAGTCAACGGTACTTCTCAGAACAAAATTACACGTATACTCATAGCAAGCGCCGCGCGGCGTTGATTACATAATCGGCGCGAACATTGCACGAACGCTGCCATCGGAAGAAAAGCCGAGGATGCTCCGATCGTTGCTCACGTTAGTCAACGGCCATCTTATTGCCTACGTTCATAAACGGAGGAATACTCGGATATATTCGTATCGAATCTCCTTTATCTTACGCCGATTTCTTTTTCCCTATCGCGTGATCGAAGTTCAGGAAGCATGTAATGCGATTCGAGATCACTGCACTCCGCGGTGATTTTCTGCATGCCGAAGCGAAGTAGCGCATTCGTAACGCCTAGCTTCTTTTTAATATTTTTACTATTAGGCATCCCCATAGATGGATTTGATTAATTTTATGAGAAGCGTTCGCTCTTGATGGGGAGCGATTTTTGCATCGAGAAACTGAGGAACTTCTCGACGTTTTATCAATCACAGAACGAAAGTAAAGCGATTGATGTAATGAAAGAGGCACGCGTATCAAAACGCAGGAATCACGGCGCGGATCACGTTCCTAACAACCGTACGGATTAGTCAGCTGTAGAATGTGAATGGACAAGCGTTTTCCGTCGATACGCGACGGCAGTTCGCCAGGGCGCAGTCGTTTACCTTCAACGGCTGCGACCCCATTTGTAGCATTCCATCTGTGTTCCCCTTCACCCGGCCCTCCGTCACTCCTAACCAAACTGATTCAATACTTTTGCTTCCACGCAACGTTACCCACCTTCCTTTTTTTCTCTTGCTCTACACCTTCTTTCGTTCGTCCCAAGACGAGATCCTTGCGTAACCGCGATTACATTTCGATATTGGTAATACAACTACAATCATTCAACTACAATGTTAATAATACGTTTTAAAGAAATTTTTTATGTTTCGTTTATAGAAAAGAAAGTTTCATCCAATTATCTTTTTATCCCACCTTCCTTTCTTCTCTTATGTCTTTTGACCAAAGACGAGATCCTTTTCGATATTTGTAACTTAAATAAAGTAATTTGTATTTGATATTCAAACGTTGATAATATTGTTTTTAAGAATAATTCAATAAAACTATTTGTCATACTTCGGTCCCAGAAAAAAGTGTAGCAAAAAATAATTTTTTTAAATTTAAAGTCGTGAATAGAACAGGATTTTACATAAATCGAGAAATTTGTTATTTGTTCATTTTCTTTAAAAGTAGAAATTTATAGTATAATATTCTGATTATTAAATGAATAATCTTAGAAATTTTACTATTAGACACAGTCGACAAATGCTCGATGACAAGTTTCATTAGATTTCTTCAGAAGTATCCATGGTTTGTCTTCTCTCTCAGGTTTAAAATTAGAATCGTGAATGGTACAGGTTTTTATATGAATCAAACAGTTTATTATTTGTTCCATACCTTTATTCAAAATATGTTATACAATATTGTTTGTTGTTCCCTGACAATGCACTGAAAATTTTTATACAATGGCACAGTTAAATAAATTATTAAATAAATACAATCTTAGGAATTTAAATATCAGACACAGTCGACAAACGCTCGATGACAAGTTTCATTAGATTTCTCCAGAGTTATCAGTGGTCCGTCTTCTCTCAAAGTCATCCACAGCCAACTATTTAACCTGACCATATGAAAGTCGTGTCGTCTGGGGATCATGGGCTCATCCACGACTACAGTATCGTTATAAACACTTCCCGAAGAATATCCCATAGATTTACATAATTCTGACGCTTCGTTATTGGATAACACGGGATTTGGGAAGCACTCTGAATGCCAGACACCGTAACTTCTACGTATCACTTCTTCAACTTCATTCCTGAAGGAAGAAATTCAATTTGAAATTTCGACAAACTTAAAGTGTATCAAAAATTGATAGACATGCATATTTATACCTCTCAACTGAAACTTTTTTCGTTATTCTACACGTGGCTTCGTCCTCGCCGTCTAAACAGTCTTTTATCCCGTCGCAAACGAAATCTTGAGGTATGCAAGTATCATTGCCACTCATCCTGCGAAAAGTTAAAAGCTATCACTATGAAACTAATTATTCGATTGCGGATTTTTATGCAAAAATTCACATTCTGAGGAATAGAATTCATTTGTACAGATTTACATTGACTGCCTTATGTATTCTTGGAGATTATGTATAATAGGTGCATTTTCTTAAAATGCTAATTTCCTATAAATACAGACAAATCCGCAATCTACTAATTATACATTGCTTGATTGAATACGTATTAACAGACTAGATTCAAGGATTCTCTTAAGTTCGCTTACGTTCTACATTGGAAACTCGAATCTTTGCAAGGGCACAGATCCGGCGATTCGTCGGTTTTATCGAAGCAATGGCGCACGCCGTCGCATAATCGTTCTGGTATAGTAAGCTTGAGATACTCCGCACAGCTACATGTCTCCGGCTCGTCGGATCCGTCGGAGCAATCGATTTTCCCGTCGCAGAATGCGCTTTTGTCCACGCATTTTCCATTTTTGCAGCGGATTTCCGTTACTTTGCAACCTTTGATCAAATCTCTTCTGTTAGTAAATTCGTAGGAAAAATATTTTCTGAAAATTGTCATACTTACTGCAGCCTGTGGTATCCTCACAATTGTTGCGATATTGTGCACAGTACACTGGATTCTCATCTTCTTTATCACGGCAGTCCGAGACTCCGTTACAAATTTGTTTCGGTGGAATGCATTGGCCCATCTTGCATCGGAAACCGTTGCAAGTCGCTTCGACGGATCGCCTCGGTGCATCTAAATCCAATTTATGTTTGTTATTATAATTACTGCGATGTGTATTTCTTATGGCTGAATGGAATGTGACTATACCTATAGCTTCGATTAGGTACGGATTTATGTAATCGATACTGGTCATAGCTTGAGGATTCTGAAGATTGCACATTCCTTTGTTGTCCTGGAAAACAGCGGTGGGACGCCATCCCTTCTTACCGCGACAGAATATCGTTCCACTCCAGTTTGATGTTTCCGTTCCCTGAAAAAGAATATACAAAAATTTACTTTCTTGGAATCACTATAAAACTTTATTAAGCTGCACTCGTTCTTTACAGGCTACTACAGTACGCTTTCTGATTCATTTTCTCGTTCATTTCTGGACATAATTATCATGAATAAATAATTTGTAAATTAACCAAATACATTTTAAAACCATGGCCAGTTTTAAGACAAGAAAATACTGTAATGAAAAATGAATTAGCCAAATTTAATAATTTAGAAACAAGTACCGAGCAATCGGAAGCGTTCACGAAACAGCGTTGACAAGTCGCACAACTTTGCAAGACAGGCCTCATAAAAATTGACTTAGTTTCATAATTCTCGTCAGTTGCCAGAGCAACGCAAGTCTCGTCCAGTCCTGGCAGATAAATTCTATAAAAGAAAATTAATTGTTATAATTTATTATTTTAATTCGATTTGGTTGGAGGATCTTACGTTTTGTTGAGGAATAGTGGTTGCACGTGACGAGTGAACTCGACTGGATTTTTCAAGTGTAACAAAATTGACACGGAACCGTTCACCAGGTGCAGTTCGTCGATCACCGATTGTTGTTGATGAGGACCATCTATCAAGTGTAGCAGTGGGCCATAACCGAACACGGCTGTCGTGTAATTTGTATCTAATCTGGAAATAATAATAAGATTTAGTATAAATTAAGATATAAATATTTCTAGTATATATAAAATATAGAACTTCTAATTTTAGATATAATAATTATTGAATATTAAATTTGTATAATCATTCTGACATTACAAACTAAGTTGAACGAGTAATATTAATATAAATTAACATTTAAATGTTTCATTTGCAATTATATCTGAAATACAAAGCTTCTTATTTTAAATACAGTAATTATTGAACATCAAACTTGTATAATCATCCTGATAAGAAAATCTAAATGAAGCAAGTCAAAAATCCTTCTGCACATAAATTAATCAGATTATTTGTAAGGTAAATTGAATTGCACCACTTTGGTGGTCATTTACCTGACGTTTTCGAGACATTTTGCAGCGGATAATACCCAGCTGGGTTCCAACAGCAGTGCTGAGCATCGGTAGTGCCCATCAACGAAGATGGCAGCCGCCCACGGCCACAGGTAGTCGCGACTTCCGGTTTTCGCATCGACGACTAAGTACGTATTCACGCTGTTACCGAGAACCGATGCGCACTGAATAGAAATCCCCGGGCAGGTTTCATCTGTCTTATTCAGAGAAACCGCTGTGGAGTTCTCTTGGTACGTGGAATTCGAAGGCCAGGCTATCGTTTCGAGTTTCGACTTCTTCACAAGTACGGACATTGAAGATATCATATTTCTTCAAACGAAAAACAAGAACACTTATACTAATCTTTTCTGTTGACGATTTTTCTACTTCTTTTTAATAATACTGATACATGTTTTGCATGATAAATACTTTTGATAGATTTACCTAAAACCGAAGTACTCGCACATGTTTTGTCCAATGAGTTTGAGTGTAGATTCATTTTGGTAAAACCTTGGTCGATGACAGGTCGTTTGCCAGCTTTCTTTGGATTGTTGTGTCAATATTCCTTGCATATTCAAAAACGGTCGTTTATTCGCGTCCAGGTACACGTGCTGATCGTCAGTTAATGTAACTACAACAAATCTCGTTTTAAAAAATTTCTGATATTAAAAAAATTGGATGAAAATACGAACTCACAGCAATCGAGATCGTCTTCTCTGAACGGGCAATCGAACACTCCGTTGCACTTCTTTGACATCGGAATGCAAGTCTTGCTTGTCTTGCAGAAGAATTCATCCTTAGCACAAATTTCTATAACATCAATGATAATAATTTAGGTGTCTGATCGTTGATGTACATATAAAATTTTCCTGATTATTTACCGCAGTCTTGTTCGTCCGTGAGATCTTCGCAATCTACATAATCATCACAAATAGCACTCGGTTTTGCGGTTTTTAGGAAATCTTTGCAAGTGCAATTCATTTCATCAGTACTGTCTTCGCAATCTATTATCCTGTCACATCTCTTGTTCGCGGAAATAGTTTGAAGCAATCTATAGATGTAAAAACATTGATACACTAATCGATTATTATTTATACACTGCGAATTTTTATCTACTTATAAAAAACACAAAATTCTTGAATTCTCTCTTTTAAATATTTTATTCTGTATAGAAATCCGCAGTATAATTATTTATATTTTCGTATAAAATCTGAAATACCTTGAACAAGTGAATGTTGTACTAGGAACTGTTGGTAGTGACACTGTGTTACTCTTTGCATAATCAGCACTAACAGTCGTTGAAATTACACTTTGGTCAGATTCTGAGACACGCTTATTATCGTCTACATACGTAGATTTGTCCGTTGTGACATCAGCCTTTTCAGAAATTAATGAGGGGACTGAAAGTAAGAAAGAGAGAAAGTAGTTATTCGATTTTAAAGTATGTACGAATATTTATGGATATCATTCTAATTTGTGGAAACTCACTGGTGCTACTGATTTCGAGTCGAGTGACATCAGACACCGTGGAATAATCTATTTTCGAGTCTAGTGTCGTCTTGAGTTCAAAATTGGATTTGGTCTTGCTTCTGTAGAGTGGGTAATGGTCAGGACAATTGACTTCGTCCTCGCCGTCTAAACAATCGACTGTACGATTACAGCGCGCTGTAATTGGTAAGCATATGCCTAGACCTCCCCCGCATCTGAAACCAGGACACTTTTCTAAAGGAGTTCGCCTCATGGAAGGCAATCCACGACCATCTGAAAATTAAGCAAAAATGGAAATCAATTCTTGTCATTTAATTCAGTTTCTAATAATTGATTTCATTATGCGAAATAAGATATTTATTGTAACATTTTAAAAAATGTGTTTTAAAAATCGTTATCAGTGCATCAATTGTATTTAAATAAATAAGTGACTCACTGATAATATCTTGAATCCAGTCGAGGAAATAGCTGACCCTCGTGTAGACGCCTGGTTCGTTCGGCTGGGCGCAACCTTCTCCATGACTGACCACACCCGCCACATACCACTGAGATTTCGAGTACGGATTTCTAAAAATAACAAAATGGGCAATTAAATCAGCAAATATTTTAATTTGCGAATTTCTATGCAATTAAAGAAAGTTTGCACATAAGGAAATGCATCTGTTGCATATAATTTATAGAAATAAAACAATTAACATAAATCTTGGATTATATTCCTTAAAATATGTTTAAAAAAAGTATGATTTTGTATAAAAGTTCACAGTCTAATGAATAAATAGATTTATACCTGCACATTAGGGGACCACCACTGTCTCCTTGACAAGCGTCTCGGCCTCCTTGAGGATAGCCAGCACAAATGGTCGCGTCAATCTGATCTACTAAGTGTCTGCAGCTCGACAGTATCGGTACCTGTACTTCTCTCAAATCATCAGCTGAAAAATTAATCTCGTATGATAAAAAATCTCAGCAAGCAGTTCATGTTTAATCCAAAAATATTATTTAACATCAAGCTGAATTAATGAAAAATTATTAATTCTTCTCGAGATGCACCAAAATTAAATTTCAATAGAAAAAGCATCTTACGATCTGGTCCATGTTCACTGAGAGCGCCCCAGCCCATCGTAACGCAAATTGAATTTGGCTCCGGTTTGAACCTCCACATCGAACCCAAGAGACTTCGCCCGGGGAGGCAGACTGGTCGCACCCATCGGTTGAAGTGCAGGGGGTCGTCCAGCATGATCATAGCTATGTCGTTGATCATGTCTTTGCTATTGTACTGCGGATGCGGTACGATGTACCGCGCTTTCCTCGTCTGCGCCATCGGTGAAAAAGAGGACTTTCGAAGTATCCCCGCTTGGACTTCAAAATAATTGTCTGTGTAGCTGTAAATAATTGAAGCCAGAGACAATAGACAAAATTTAATAGCAAAGACCGGGTAGTATGGAACCATACAATAAATACTGGCTAGGTAATAAAAACATGGCTAGATAAAAAAACTCCGGGCGTATTAGAAGAAAATATAAGAATTTTTAGATGAAAGAAATTCTGTGATTCAAAATAAAAGCTTGTTAAATTATTTCTTCCACAAAATTATATGCACGATATAAAATGCTACCAAAAGTAATTATCGACAAAGATTTGTATTATTTTCATACGTATCTTACCCATAGAGACAATGGGCTGCCGTGAGTATCCAGAGCTCGTTCAGAATGACACCGCCGCAGTAGAATAAGCCGTCCTTGTAAATAGCCACCAGAAACGGCCAAGCCTTCGGCTGGCTCGCGCGTCCACCGACAACGCGCAACTGCGATCCCACCATGGAATCTAATTTGCTGACTCTTGGGTCCATCTTGTCCTCGAAAGTTGGCCACATTAAACCGTCCACAACGTTTTGCTCTTCGTTCTCGAACACTTGCGGTGGCGCGAAATCCTCGTTTTTCTGTGCACTGATACCACAGGGAAATTGTGGACAGCGCACGTAAATCGCGGTGTGTCTGCAGGAAGGGATTATCTTCGTTTCTCCGTTCATTTCTGTTATGTACGATCCTTTGTACGCGTCGCTCGGTACCGGGTGGACAGTCATCGTTGGTGTTTCACTGTAATCAAAGTTCCAAAAGTTGGAAGAAATGCGAAGAAGAAAAATTTGAAGGAAAGTCATCGTATATTGTTAATGTCTTAATTTATGTTCATGTCACAATTTCTATTCAATGTCTGGTATTCAAAGTCGTTGCTTATTCTTAAGATCATTTTAAGCATTTGTTTTTTAAAGAAAAGAGGGACTTAAATAAATACTTAAGGCGATCTTAAATATAAGTAACGACTTTGAATACCGGCCAATGATTCTTTATTCTATAATTTTATGTGTAATTTTCGATCAATAGAAATTCTGACGTGAACGGAAATTGGGATGTAAGGTCAATTTCAATAAAGATTTTTAGACTTCGGATGTTTATGCAAAATAAACTTTGTAGGGTATCAATCTAAGAAATCCTGTAATCCTATTTTTATTTCTCTTTACGTACATGACTCAACTATAAATGCATAAAATCCGCAGTCGAGCGATTATAAAAATATTTTAGGTGAAGCGGATTTGGTAAATTGAAATAGGAATTTTATGAAGGAATTACGTACGTAATTTCTTTGCCTATTTCCGAAGCACATGCATCCTTCGCCCAGGATTCGACTGCCATGCACACGGGGTACCATTGACCTTTGAAGTTTTTGTGCAGGTATCCGTCAGTGTGACCAATTATGAATACCTAACAAATAAATTGTTGTAACCATAATGAATAATACAAATATCTCATTTTTTTTCGCTCCCTTATTTTTCTACTATCTCAGGACAAGATTCTATAAGATTGTAGAAAAATATGTCAGTGAGTAAAAATTGGGACATTTATCTTTATTCTATATTATAAATTTTATAAATATAAAGCAATATTCAATTTTCATTGTATCTAAAATTTACATTTTTCCCTTCAATGTGCGAAGACGTAAGAATGTTACACTCCATCTCGTCTCTTCCATTGGCACAGTGTTTTATCCCATCGCATCGTTTTGACATCGGAACGCAATTTTCCGCAGTGTATCGCCTTTGCCAATCGTTGCAGCTGAATTTAGTTTTCGGACAACCTGTAGTATATCAATAAAAGCGTTTCATATCTCGCGGCCATAAGAGCAAGTTTGCTTCGCGGATAAAAAGGATTGCAAAGCGAGATCGCAGTGACTGGTGCCATCTCGTGTAAATAATGTACGACAGTATTTATAAAAATCACTTTCGTTAGTTTGATAAAATAGCTATAAACAAAAACAAATATTAATTTGTGTACATATTACATATTTTATAGAGTTCTGTCATAATTCCTAATTTTGGAATTTTACTCTTACAGAAACAAAAGATTTGAATTTATATAGGTATTACATTTTTTTAAATTTATAATTATTTGCAATTGAGCTCTGGAGACAGCAATTTCTATATTTCTGAAATTTAACTGTTAACTATAAAAAATTACAGGCAAGAGATTTGAATTTATACACGTATTACATTTTTTTTTTTTAGTCTTACAGCTGTGCAATTTAGGTCGATTACGAAGTCTATTCTAATTTCTACGGTTTTTATTAAATGAAGAATTGTCAATTTTTACCCAAACATCCTAATTCGTCCTCGCCGTGCGGGCAATCGAAATACCCATCGCAGAGTCGATCCTGCGATATCCGATCCCTACAAGAACAACTGGTTTCGTCGCTCGCATCGGTGCAGTCCACCAGCCCGTTGCACCATTGCGATCTCAATATACACTGGCTCCCATCATCGCATCGAATCATGTTAAACGGACACGTTTCTGTATACACGATCATTTATCAAACATTAGCTTCAACTAAAATTATTCTGAGATATTATAAAATAAATAAAAAAATAACAGAAATAATACCTGACTTATTACGACTGGCATCTTCTATAATATTTTCCACTTCATCTGTTTCCTCGACTGGAGCAGAAGATCGCTGATACTCGGTCACACCAGGAATAGTTGGGAATTGGAACGTCGGTGCAGGAATGTAGGTGCAATAATACGTGCTCTTTGAATTCAGATTCGCAGCAGCAGTCGGCGAGGATATTTGATGGCCAGAATAAGCAGGAAAATTCTGTGTCGCCGGACCCGTTGGTCCCATCTTTTGCCCGGGCTGGCCACCGGGTAAAAATTGCATGTTCTGTACTTGCACTTGCGTGTAACTTGGCACCTGATTAGGGCTTTGGAAGCCCTGGCGGTGCTGCTGCGGCATCGAAACTGGATATACGCTGCCCATCGACGATCCCGGGTACATCTGACCCGGTGCCGACTGTCTCGTGAGACCGTTTGCCCCAGGCGCGTAGAAACAGACCTGGTAAGGCGTCCAGGACATCGTCGGGTTCAGCTGCAGCTGCTGACTCGATTTCATTGTCTCCGCGGTTGGCAATGCGTCCGGATTCACTTTTGAAGCGATCCTCGGTTGAGAGTTACGGAAGCTCGTCTTATTTGATGCTGATTCTGAAATTAGAAATTGTCTTATAAAAAGCCTGTGAATTCAATTATTTCTTGTCTTCGTTATAAATTTTTTAAAGATGATTATTTTTTTAACGATCTGTTAAGATTTAACGTTTGAAATCTTAATCAGACATTTGAAAACTCAAATTCCAAACACAATTCTTCTCCTGGCATGATTAGATCCATTACATGATTTGACGCTAATGATCTTGCCCTCATACACGAAATTTTAAACTAAATCCCGTATTAATATCTGGAGTGGACAACGTTTACGTTTCCTTTAACTAGAATGAAGAAACCTTTCTTACTAGTCTCCATAAAAATACACGGCAAATTAAAATCATAATTCGAAATTTTCCATGTACATTCGTACTAACAATTAACGTGAAGTACTAGAGTTTCTTTAGCATCACTCTAACTTGTAAGCCTAACATTGTTAACTCGAATATAGTAACGAGCTGATAAATAATGCATTTACCGTTCCCACCTTCCTTTTCCGTACGTTCGCCCTGACCTTGGCCCGAAGGATGCACCAGAGGATGCACCGGGTCTTTCGTTATTTCCGTCACGTTGTCCGCGTCTGGTTTGGCTGTCACGGTCGCAGTAACTACGTCCCACTTCGTACCATTGATTCTACTCATTTGGGCGCTAGCTTCTTCCGTGTTCCGCGTTATCGATCCACTCGCTGTTGCATTAATCATCGCCGCTTCCGTAGACGAGCTAGTTAATTCCATAGATCTGATTGTCGTGGAATTTTCCATTTCCGGTTTCTGGGTCATCGTAGAATGTCTTTGATGATCACTTGAATTATCATTTATCGAATTCTCCATTTTATTATTATTATAATTATTAATGACACTCCGGTCGTCAGTATTGCTAAAGATTGGTTTTTCTGTAATTTCTTCGTTTCCAATTGTGCTCGAGTTAGGATTAGTACTAGACTTCTGTTCTTTGTTATGTTTCTTATCATTTAATAAATTATTAACAATTTCTACGTTATTTTTTATCTGAGCATGATCAATGTGCTCGTACGCCATTCTATCATCGTTTACTGATCCAGATTCGTCTACAGACGCAATGGAATCGTTCTTACACTGCAAACATTCGACTAATTCGACGAATTTCGACTTAGGCCCGTTTTGATCAGTGGAAAAGTTGTTTAAAAACGATTGCAGATGAGGCAAACTGTTGTTCACTATACTAACGATACTCCACATCGAATCTATCACCGTTTTGCAGTGCTCCATGTTTTCTGTACAGGGAACATTCTTAGCTTGTCGTCTCAAACGATTTTGATCCATGTGCACTATTACCGATCGTAGATCTGGGCTTAATTTCAGAAGCAGGTCGCTGAAGAAGTATTTATTTAAATCAAAATTCGAATCTTCATTTCGCGGTTCTAATGTAGAAGCTTGTTCGGCCAGTGTATGCGGTTGGTTGATATCGTACACGTTTTCAGTTTCGTAGAAACTCGATAGGTAACCTGTTGGACATTCAAATGTGCTGATACTGATCACAACGCTTGTAAATGATCTAATATTTAGTTAAAAATTAATTGTAATCAGTGATTAATAATAATTAGACTAGAGATTTTTATACAATTTTCAATGTCAATGTAGAAAATGAAATTAAAATTTTCTTCTGCATTTTAAAAATCGTAATGTGCATTTCACTTTTGATATTTCGTATCTCTTTGGACATTCAATGAACTTTTGATATTTTCTGCACATACCACTTTTCCATAAATTCATAAAATCCGCAATCTACTAATGATTAACCTACCTGATTCGACGCTGACGTAGATTAGAAACCCGACAAAAGACAGGATTGCTATCGTGATGAGAATTTCAATCAGAATCATTAATTTACATTGTTTGACAATCTTTCTATGGTTCAGATTTCCAACACGTTTTGTCGGACTACCTGAAATTGAATTGAGGCAATATCCCTAATATAGATTTTCTGAACGTATTCGTACGGCAGATGAAATAAAAATTGAGATTGATGAGTAATAAATGTAAATAAATGGACGTACCGGATTTGGAAGCTGTCAAATTCACGCAACACTGGCTATTCATTATCGACAGATCTTCCAGCTTCGAGGACGGGATCTTGTAGTTCGTATCCATGGTGAAGGATTCAAGACAACCTGAGTGGAAGGAATAAGGGATTGAATGTGAATGAACGCGCTCACGCGGTTCATTGGCATAAATACATTGGCTAAACATAACAGATCTAGTAAACTAATAATATACTCCCATTAATATTCGGACTCAAAACGAAATTACTGTTCTAATATTGGATCCTATCAAATCGGCGAAAGTATAAAAAAAGTGAGACACATCGAAACATGTAAAAGTACTTCAATTTATATCAATTATAGAATATGTGCGATTTTTTAAAATCGCTTGTAGCTTATAAATTGATTTTTATGAAACGTCAAAAAAAATTATGATTTTCTCTTTTTTAAGATTCTGATGAATAGCAGTTTTTCCATTTTTTTTGGTATATCATGTAATAAACTAAGCCTAATATTCCAAATAGAACAAAGTGTTTCGATCCAATATAAAAAAATTATTTCAAAGTGTCTCCGAGTATTAATGGGAGTCACTATACGCAATTCACAATTTTCAATTTGTCAATTAAAAGATACCAGGTACATTTTTCTGAGATTCTACACAAACATGATTTTGCATCACTCGCGATTTCTGGTGTGACGCACCCGCCTAGCGACTCACTGTGCTCTCGAACAGTTTCTTCCCGGTTGAATCGTTTCCATCCGTTGGGATATCCACCGCAGGGCTATCCTCGGAGACCGTCTCAAGGGAGTTGCTTCTGGCTGTCAATGGTCCGTGCACTCGATGCCACCGACGCGGAATAACGCGGCATTCGATGTCGCCAACCACGTTTTGCATCGAACGATGTCAGCAATATCTATAGCGACAGAAAAATTCAGGACCAAAGGTATTTCTTCATCACCGAGTGAATGACCGGCGATGCTGAGTCGTGAACACAATTGTTTTGTCTTTATATTGGTTTCGACACAATAGAATGATTCGTGCAGGTGAACTTTTAATTGTATAATAAATATGAATATAAATTGAAAGCACGTGACGTACTTTATTAGAGAACAGCAGGTGAATAGAAAAATAAGGAGGGACGTAATTAATTTATGGTTGCGAATATTTTAATTAACGTATTTATAACATACGATTAAATTGTAATCGATAATTCGGATTCGGAATCTAATTAATAAATTATTGAAGGGATAAAGGTCTCACAATAAGTTACTTTTCGGAATACAAAAGACCTGGAAATAACTATTCTATTTGGAATTCCAATTCATAATTAGAAGAAATCATAATTAGCGATTGAATGTTAATCGAGGCTTCAAGGAAAGGTTAATTAAAATTATATTTTCAATCTATAATTTATCAGGTTTGATAAATCGAACTTTAATCCATTAATTAACAATTGAAATTTCTAATTACGTGAATTAATATTTATAAGTTGCTAATTAGTGTTGAATTGAATTAAAGATTTACTTCATTAACTGATCTGAATACGACTATGACTCGTAAACACGTGACGTATCTTATAAGAAATAAGCAGGTGAATAGGAAAGTAAATAGGAAGGGACGTGAATGATCTACAATTACATCAGACAATTCCATGGTAGAGAAAAAGAGGATTTATGTTTCATATAAACAACAGTTTTTATTTAGATAATGTCGTGAATACGAATTACTCTAAAAGAAGAAAATTTCCTTCAACTAGTTTCACCGTCCTTTCCATTTCTTCTCGTTGCGAAATCCTCGGGTTTCGCAAACATCGAATAATCTTCTATTTCCGCAATCCAGTTTTGTCGCGTTCCACGAGTAACGCGATCCCATATGTCATCAACTTTTTTGCCAGTTGTTACAAATTAATGGAACGCATTTGTTTCACAACTATTCGTCTCTAACCATCGTTTTTTTAATTTTAAGAAGATTAAAAAAATTAATCAAATTGCGCAGAAATTTTCACTACGAAAAATATAAATATTAATGATTAAATAAATATGAATAATAAATTGTAATTAAATGCAGAATAAATTTCTTCTTTATTGCCTCCGATGTCCAAACTTCCAAATTCCTTGGAATAAATCTTCACTATGTAGGACGTCTATTCCTACTATACAAGGACTCGATCAATGTCACCAATTCCAAGGTTACCAGGCAACAATCGACTATAGTTGGATTACGTGGAAATTATTCGATGTACATAAACGATGTGAATGATTGCGCAACACGGTGTTATTCTGTTACTTTCTCCGGACGAGCGAGGCGGTCTTTAAACTATGCCAGCGACAGACGAAAGTAACAGTCCACGTTCTATCGTTAACACGCTAACTATCGCTCGATGTGTTAGTGGAAAAAATGCAGAGAAATCGTCGAAGTTTAACTTTATTCATAATAATAAGTCGAGAACTATGTATCCTGTGGTAATCGTGTCAGCAGATGGCCTAGAAAGGAAGAAACCTGTCAAGGTTACCGATACTGCGAGACTATTATTAAGGATTTTGAAGGGGGCTCTCGTCGAAATTGGTCTGAGTCCTTCGGGATGATCGCCTCTGGCCGGAGCTGAATAAGCTAAAGATTAGTGGGAAAGCTCGACAGATTTGTGCAAGTTAATAGGATATAGCAATATTCCTTGACAATTTCTGTAATATGCTGCCTTGTGTAACTATATCAAAGTGTATGCATAATTCTTCGTTTTGAAGAAGAAAATAATATATTGTGGTGTTTGCAAAGTGAATTGTTGTGAGAATCGTTTTTCTTTCAGTTCAAATGATTCGTTTATTTTCCTTTGTCGTCTTGTAATTAGTATATCGATCCGATAAACTCGTGACAATACCTTCTTGCTTAACTATAATCAAGATATATAATTGTTGGTTTTGAAGAACGAGATAGTACTATTGTGACCTTTACGAAATATCAAGACAAAGTGAATTGTTGTGAGATCTGTTTTTTTTTGTAATTCAGATGATTCATTTATTTTCTCTTGGTGTCTTGTAAGTAGCATATCGATCCGACAGACTCGTGACATTAATACCTGCATAATTATCACGTCCTTCGATAACAATCTTTCATGGAAATGAAAGCCTTCACCTGTTACAAAGCAGTTTATATAATTATAAATGAGTAATCTATTTCCCACATAAAAAACGTATAAAGCGAATATTGCTAAAAAATAAATAAGAATTTCCCAACTACAGAGAGTTTGCAGACTTCCCCTTTTAATGCCCCAAGAGTCACACATTTCCGCACCGGTGACCCAGCACCTTCATCATTCTCTCGCGCCGAAAACCAGCCTCGGGGCGAAGCATCCCCCGCGACATCACGTCACGACGGAGATGGCCACAAAGCGAGCCTCAAAGCTTTGACAATGACCAGATGAAGCGTAGGCGCAGCGGTGTTAACGAGCCAGTTCGCGTCTATGAATCGTCGGGCGAGGTTGAAAGAGCCGTGGAGGACGAAAGAGAGAAACGGAGCCGAGCGTGACTCTGCGTGACCAGTGCGCTGCTTTAACGATTTCTGTCGCATCGCGTCGACCGTGAGGACAAAGCGAGACGATCACTCTCGGCATTAGAATAAGCGTAGTATTATTTCCGTTTGCCTTTCTCGCACAGCACGGCCGGCCACGATATTCACTATATGTACAACTGGTCCGAGCGTATATTTCACATTGCTGATCGGCGGCTGTCGCGCGTACGTCGATTTCTTCTACGCACCGATCTCGGTCATGAACTGGAGTCTCTAAATCGCGTGAGTACTCTAGCCTGTCGCATAGATATTAATTGTGACACGCAGGTGGTTCGGATTTTCGTTTTGTTCAACCGAGAGTGAATGGGAGAATGAGTGGGTAAACAGTGACTCAGTTTATGAATCAACGTCAATGTATGTACTGTTCTCCTGAATTAGTCATAGTTGTTTGCAACAACCTAGTATTCTTCCTTGTCAATAACATAAGAATACGAGCTCTTTGTTTGGCTTTGTTTTCATTCTTAAGCCAGTCGTCGGAAAAATTCATTTTTCTTACGATCTTCTTAACGAGCATTGTCTTCACTATTCCGGAAAGGTTTTTCTAGGATTCTTGCAAAGTTCCAGGCATTAGTTTAAATCCATTTTCTTACGATCTTCTTTAAAAATATATCCACATAAATATCTTTTTCATTTGGGATTATAAGAAAAATATTTTTTATATTATGTACTAAATAGTATCAAAAGATGAAGGCTTTGCAAAAAAAATTTTCTGAGTTTTGAACATCACCTATATAATTATTGGTCATTAAATTCTCAGACTTATACTTATACAACTTCTTCCTTGCCCCTGTTGAAAATCAGTGATATCAGTGGACATTCATTGTATATTTTATATTAAAATTCACATTTTGGGAACCGGAAGTCACTTTAAGGTCCTGTCAATAATATGATTGAATACGTCTCGATGACTATAATATAAAAAAGAAAAGATGTACATTTGCAAGCAAAAAAATATTAGTTACGTCTAAGAAAAAGTCCTGCTAAGCATTTATTTTTTAATACCATTTATACAGCATAAAAGATATTTTTCCTATCATCACAAATGAAGCAGATATTTAGATCGCCCACTATTACTTATGAATGATTAAAATTACAGGAAGTTCAGAAACATACAAGACTGATGTAAGCTGTACACTCATACTCAAAACCTTCTTTCTGCTCTCATGAAAGTGAGAGCTACTGACTAGTAAGAAACACATGTGCTGTGTTTCATGTATGTACGCAGCGAATTTTTTTAAGCTGTTGCAGTTGCAGCCCGACTGTTACTTTAAACAACCGGGATCACTTGCATAACTTTTATCAACGATTAATCGCGGAACGTGTTTCTTCCTCGAAACGAGACATGCATGCGTTCTAAGCCTCGTCAATATTTGATTCTCCTGGTATTTGTATGATCTGAAGCCCCTCTAACGTTATCGTAATTTCAGCTGAGTCCACGGAATACACTTACCCCTTTTACGTAATTCCAATAACGTGACGCTTTAGCTTCGCATTAGCCTAATTCCTTACTATAAAAAATCAATTAATAGAAGATTAGTTTCCACCGGAGTTGCAAATAAGAATCTTCAATTGAATTGAACATCAATTAACAATTGACATTTAATTTTTAGTTCAAAGACCGATAAAGAATTAAAATTATTTAATTAGAGAAATTCGTATTAACGATTGAATTTTAATTCTTAATTAAACAATACTCCAATTATTGATTAAAATTAAAAAAAAACATTTAATCGTCAATTGTTGATGCAGCAATTAGAAAATCTGCAACACTGGTTTCCACGAAGTCGTTTCATTTGTCACCTATCTTTTGCCTGTATTAAAACGATCAAACCTTGAAGAATTCTTTCGTTCGTAATCGCTATTTCCTCACTCGTTTCATAAAGTACGTACAGTTGCACTTACTCGGACGACACAACCGGATTGGTTTCCCGGATGCATTCATCGCCGCACAGCTTCTCCGAATGTTTAATGTATCACTTTCTACGAATACTGAAATAACGTCGACACGGCCTTGAAATTTTAATGGTATCACACGTGTCCTGCTCGTCTTGGAACAGGTGGCCGTTGACAGAGTTTTTACGAGGCCGAAAGATCGGTGCCGCTGGAAAGTGAAAGCGTACGGAGCCACGTAATTGGTGAATCGTCGAAATCGTCCAGCATCCGAACCTCGGCCCACGTTCGATCTCATCTCATCGTCAGTGTAGATTCACGCGTCACGAAGAAGGGTACGATTTCGCAGCATCGACAACACTATGTCGATCTTCAGATAGAAACTTCGTGTTCTGGTTAGTTGACGTTCAAGAAAGTCGAGATTCCAAAAGGGAAATTCCTTGTGATTGGTGAAATTTAAAAAAAATTTCTGTCGTACTAACAGAATTTGGTGGAAGAGTACATTGGAGAGTTGTTTGATGTTTGGATAACAATTGTGCTCGAGGGACTTTGTTTGCTGTTAAAGTGACTGAGGAATTCGTGTGATACGTTGAAAGAAATTGAGAAGCAATCACGTTCTGGAATTTAAAGTAAAGAAGCGTGTACGGACCGTTTCTATTTTAAGTTCACATCTTCTAACTCGTGCACTAATTGTAGAATCAATTAGAAGACACATGGCTCCTATTAACGGGACAATACTCCCGTTGTTATTGAAATTCATATCGCATATCCATTTAAACAACAGAATTTTCAACTAAAACTTCTATCAGAAAAATGACACGTCAGTAAACTTAGAAACAGAAAATAAATTTCAGCAGTCTAACTGTGATCATTTTCGAAAGAAAAATAACTAATTGTGAGAATCTTTTATTCTTTGAATGCAATATGATACAATCTTACATTTTACATTATTTACTCTTACATTCTACATTTTCATCTAAAAATTCTATTAGAAAAATGCTGCACCAATAAATTCAAAATCAGAACATAAATATATACCACGAATACTAATTTTCAACAGTCTGATTGTGATCATTTTCGAGAGTAAAATCATTGAGGATCTGTTGTTCTCTAAACACAGTTTGACGAAGTGGCGCAGTAGGTCGTCGCGATCTGAGCCCAGGAAAAAGCGTCTCTCCAAAGTCCATCTTGTTCCACTGTAATCGATTGCCTCACAACAATGAGACCATAGAAGTATCCAGAGAGGCTCATTAGCCAGATGTTCATTCTTTCGTACAGTCCAGTACGGTAGAGATAAATGATAATTAATCTATACAGATTAACTGGACGATTCCTTTCTTATGACATTATATCAGCACCAGTTTTTCTCCTATATCTCATACTTTAATTGCCTATTTGTACCTTCATCAGGTTTTTCATTTTAAACTTATCTAATGTCAAATTCAGGAGAGAAAGGAAATTCGACGTTAATTTAAAAGAATTCGTAGGAAGAGACCATTAGTTCCCCCAATTCATCTTCTCTGTGTTATATTTGAATTATCTATTCATATCCACATCAACTTCCTCGTTTTTAACTTCTCTAATTTTCCATTGGATTTGGAATACAGGAGAAAAAGAAAATTGGACGTTGATTTAAAAAAATTCTTAGGAGGAGACCATTGTTTCCACCATTTTTCTTCTATATGTCATACTTTAATTGTCTGTTTGCATCTTCGTTAGCACTTCCAATTTTGACTTCTCTAATTAAAATGAAAATTCGACATTGATTTACATTCTTAGGACAAGACTGTTCAGACACTCAACTGGATTGCAAGTGTAAGCGTTGAATCAGAGAACTGGAGCGCAGTTTCTGGATAATCGCAAGCCGGCCGATTAGCCTTAATCGCAACTGATAACAGGATACGCGTCCAAGATTCCTTTTCAACAAGTGAGCGTGCATTATCTTCGCTTGTGCGTCCGGAAGAAAACGTGGTCAGTCGATCGTTCGCATGGACACTCATTCCTGAGTTTCTTATTCGTTTTATCGAGCAGTAGCCGTCAGACAGCGCGGCGTTTCTCGTGCCCAACAAAGAAAAGCTTAAAGAATTTTGTGAGTACTTACATAAGGAGAAATTGCCAACAGTATTATTACTTACAAATCGTAGCAGAAAAAGATTGCAACCGTCTCATGTTTTCT